AAAGTAACATTTTTCTTTATCAAAATATAATTGGTATGAATGGATGGAAAGAAATAATGTGTTTGTTTTTTTTTCCTATTTAAATTTTCTGAATAATGTAAATATACTAATCAAAAACTCGTTAATCATTTTCTGATCTTTACTTACTTTCTATCATTTGCATGTACATTCATAACACCAATTTTTTCCCATTTTGATACTGTCATATCAAAATGTTGTGCAGCATCATTAGCAAAATCTAAATCACGTACTTCATCTGGTGAGACATGTACGATTTGAAATGCTTCTCGATCTTCTTTCGTTAATGCACAACCAATTTTAAATCGTACATTATCATCATCAGGATCTAATTTAATATTTGTTGAGTGTACCCACGTATTTGTACATATGTGTTGTAGACGTACATATGAACCCCATGGTACAGCTTCTTCATTACGTGTTATAGTTGTTGGATCAAGTTCAAAAATTGATGATATATCATAACCATGTGGAATAGGTACAAGAGCAAATACAGGTGTACCTGGTGGACCACGTAACTTTTGTCGTGTTGCATCGAATGTTTGATCATTATCAACTTCAGCAGCAAGATATTGTCCTGTAGCTAAATGTTTAAAACGAAATAATGAATTCCATTGTCCAACACCACCACGACATGGATCTTGTTGAACAACTTCAATTTCCCATAAAGCATTCGATGATGTTGCTGATGTTGCTGATGCACGACCAGTAGCACGTAAAAATACGACACTTTTCTTTCGATAATTATCACATGTTAGAAATTTTTCTTGTTCAGCATGAAATAAACGAACAATATCGCCCTTAATTAAACAACAAGAATATTAATTTAATTGGCTGTTTAGAAAAACAACAAATATTTTTATATCTTACACTTTTAAGTACTTCATTAGTACCTTCAAAACATGACATAAATAAAACAATTTTCCAACTTGTTTGTAGATGAGAATTAACCTATTTTCAAATAAATTATTGTAAATATTCAACGAAATTATTTTAATAAACAACGATTTAACTGTGAACAATATCTATAGATATATAAGCACGAGTGCGGTGCATGCGAAATCGCTGTAATGAAAATGATATATATATATATTCGTTTGTTGCCTTTTTTTTTAAAAGTGTATAAGTAGATTTTCATGTAAATGTAAAATTAAATTATTAATCATATTCATACAACTAAAAGAATACCATCGTAATAGTCCAAACATAAAAAAAAACCAATTCCTATTAGTATAATTAATTAATATTTAATTTCACATGCATTTAGAAAAATAAACCTGAGAGTTACTCTATTTCCGGAAAACTTTTCCTATTCAAATATTACATGAAGATCTACTTATACGATAAGGTGGGTTGAAAAAGCAATTTTTTATCATTAGATATGCAAAAAAAGACAGGAATTTTGTTTCTTGTCAATGTGCGCTAATGTGTGTCTATAAATACACATCAAACATACGGAAGTATACGAATGACAATTGATCTAAATATTAGAGAAAAACAAAAATCAATCACATAACCCATGCAGATAAAAAAAAGAGCCAAAATAATTTTCATTGCATTTCAAACTAATTAAAATTTTCCTTTCTGTTTTTTTTAATACCGTGTGGAGGTTAATAACACTGCAGCACTAGAAGAGAACAATTTTTGTTTTGCCTTTTAATTATCTCTCTAGCTTTTTTAATAATTGAGGAAATAAAATCATGCTTAAAAGTTAAATAAATATTGCTTGAGGGTTTATCTATCTGATTTATACATACTTCTTTGGAACCGGGATGATCCGGTAATTCGAGTTCACTAACATGTAATGGTTGTCCACCACTATATGGCATAAGAACAACTTTATCGCCCACAACAACCTATAAATCATATTGATTTCCTAGGAGAATTTATCAATCATGTGCAAAATAAATAAACATACACGTTCGCCTTTTGCTCGTAATTTATAATAGGGTTCAATTTGAAACCATGAACCTTCAGTACCACTAACATCGAGAGATACACGCATAGCATTTTTTTCCAAAAATGCTGGTAGTCGTTTATTTACAGTTAAATATTTATTACTTTTTATATGAAGTAATTGTACAACAGTATCGCCATATTTAATAATTGTACCCGTTTGTTTACGACTCTCTTCTTCATTTTGACGTTTTTCAGTATCAGCTGCAAGTTGTAATTTTTTTAGATCTCGAACAGCACTTGGACTTTTTAATGCATTCCAATATTGTGTCTGAGCACTGTATCGATGACTGGGACAAATACGAAATAGACAATCTGTATAACAATAGAAGAAGATGATAAATGATATGTTTTATTTGAAATTTACTTTACCTCGGAATTTTTTTGGTGGTTTTTGTAAATCACCGGAATCAGGTTGTACAACACATCGATCATCAACAAGACTATTGATTTAGAATTAATGTATTCATACGAAATAGAAAAAATAATCATTTGACATACCCAAGTGTACTAATAAATCCACAAACTGTTCCCTCAGCATATAAAGCAACTATATCACTAATTTTCAGGAAACTTGACGTCAAACTTGACTCCATATTATCATCAACTGACGTCTAGTTGCTTACCTACAGTAAATAAATACAATAGAAGAAAAAAAAACGAACGGTTTTTTTTCTTAATAGATGATAGGCCCTCCTGAATAACGGGTATGTAGTGTGCATGTAACAAGTATGATAGAACAAAAGAAGAAAAAAAGAGAAAGAATCGATCTTTTCCTTTTTTTCTTTACCGGTTTTTTTCTTCTTCTTCTCCTCTTCTCCTCCTCGCTCTTTCGTCTTCTTCGTCTTCTTCTTCTCCTTCTTCTTCTTCTTGTTCTTGTTCTTCTTCCTGATGATTGATAAGAGATTGATGGAGCAAAAGGTATTCGTTTGTTCTCATCGCATGACCATCGATAGAGAGCAAAAAAAATGTCTATATCTGTATATGTGTTTCCTGTTATGAATTATTAATAAACTCGTAAGGCCAAAACATTTTCTAATATTCTAATGTTCGCGTCCTCGTTGTTTCATCACATTTATTTACAAGGAACAATAACAATGATAACAATCATAAGTCCTTGAGTTTTCTACAACTCTTACCATATGAAATAAAAATGAATTGATTATAGACTCTTGATTAACTATCATGACATACGCCAAGTGGTCTGTAGTGCGTCTTTATACATAATATTTTTTTTTCTTAAGAAAAAAAAAGAAAACGTGTGTGACAGTCCTATTTTCTTTCTCTCGTTTTT